TAATTCTCAACTTATAAAATTTTTTTTTCCATACTTCGAAAATATTTTCCCAACTTACCTTACAGAAAATCTACTCGATAACTTTCCAATCAACCCTTCATATACTAATTTCTTACAAAATATTAAAAAACTACCAATTCAATAAAAATTTTAAAAAAATTTTATTACAAAATTTATTAGTTTTTATATAATACTTTCTTAATTAATTCTTTAATAAAAAATTTCTTAATAAAATTTACATCTGACCAAAATTGGTCAACTAACCTAACAGCTCTAAACATACCGTAAGAAAAAAAATCAAACTGAATCAAACCAAACATGTTTCGTTTGAACCTAGTATTTGTTTGCACTAAATATGCCTCATTAGTGCATCAACAGGCGGAAGGTGCAAGTCAGCCCCTGTACTTTCCATTTTGTGACAAGTCCGCTCCTATACTTTTAACCATGGCAAATCAGCTCCTCTACTTCACGAAATCCACATAACAGCTCCTTTAGTTAAACAGGCGTCATCCAAACGTTAAACACTTTAATTGTCCGTTAAAGGTTGATGAGGTAGTGCTGATTGAGCGCTGACATAGACCAATTCACTTCACCTCAGTAATACTTGGGAAAGTTTACATTTCTCTGTAACAGGTTTAGAGTTGAAAGATAAACTTTTATTTATTTATTTATTTATTTTTTGAACAGTATAAAATCTTTTTTTTCTTGGGAAAAAGGAAAATGGAGGACTTGGGATTTGATCTTAAGTCCTTGTAATCCTACGCACGTCCCTTGCAAGGGGTGGCCATTTGGCCACCGAGTGCGGGATGAAAGATAAACTTTTAACTACAAAAAGTAAGGGAAAAAGTAATTGGTTATAAAAGAAATAAAAATTATAATTTTAAAAAATAATTGATTTTAAATTAATGTAAATTATTATATTATTATAAAAGTATTTTTTAGTAAAAGTTATAGAAGATTCTTATATGAATATAAGTGATTATATCAATTTCAATAATTTCTTCAGCTATTGCTTTCCGAATATAGGTAACCAATTAAGTTTTAAATGGTATGTATAAATTACAAAAGAAAAGTTTTGTTCTCTTTATTTGAAATAATTGTCATTTTTTATTTTATATTTTAAAAATTAATGAGATTGAAAATTTATTATTAAAATGAATGAGTAGAGATTTATTTATTTACAAATTTTATAAAATATATTTATATA